TTGCCATCTATAATGAAAATGGCCTTAGCATGACATGTGACTGAAAAGCTGAAATTTTGTTTCTTCTCACGAGTAACTTATGATAGAAAAGATGGCACAATACTGTTGCCTATATAGATGTGAGCGAGTTGACAGAGTTTAGTACCTCTAGCTTACCATATTTGTGCTCCAGCCCTTCTCAAAGCTGGCCGAGCTAAAGTTTGAAGGCTCATAAGTTGCTACCAAGTAAGAGTTAAGAAATTCTACACATATTAATAAAACAGAAGACAAAAATCTACTGGAAAATGGTTTTATCAATGTCAAAAGTGTCAGCACATTTGCTGTATTTTTAAATCAGTTTTCCTTACTTTGTAAGCTTCTTCTCCATGGTGCTGCTCTTTAGACATTATTAGATGATAAAGAGAGACTTTTTCCAGCTGTAGAGAAAGATTTATAAGCCCAGAGTGCGTGGTTTCAAAGTTATATATTTTTAAAAAGACATGAAAAAGGGACAGAATGAATGACAGACACACAACCAAACTACTTAATACCCGCCTACGTGGCGAGTCCAATAATAAAATTAATAAATAAACAATATCTATTAATGTGTCATTAACTCACTGTCTTACAGCAAAGCACTAAACCGTCCAGTAACAAGACATGCCTGTCCATCTTCTGTCTTGACAGTCACAGAAATAGATAAATATATTTAAATAATTTCGTCCTCCTTCTCTTAGAACACACAGTGCACTCTATAGTAGGTGGAGTCAATCATTACCATAGCAACAGGGCTTGTATACCTTTGACAAGCTCTAGTAATTGGGTATGAATGTCTGATCTCTAAAGGGGAGAGAGAGTGAGTGAGAGACAGACAGACAAAAGGAAGGAGCATGTTACACATTGTATGTACTTTATTATAGCTCACCTCCATCCCTCAACCTTTGACTGTACATGTAGCTCAATTAGTTTCTTCTGTGTCCAACTCTTCTTCAAAATAACCCAATATCCTTCCTAAAGATAACAATGAGTAATAACTGTAATACTAATTACAACTAGGGAGAATGCATTGCATTTAGGGGGCGAACCTAAGCAAGCATAGAATATCTATGTGCTGTATGATACACAGCAAGCAAAGCAACTGTACATGTCAATAAGGCTAATATAGTAGATCTATTGTTTCTTCAACACTGACTTGAGAATCTCTACAGGAATTAAACTTATCTTACTGATAAAATTAAAGATGCTAAGAAGCAGTCACTGCTCAAAGTCATATTTTAAGATCTGCTTTGTTAACCTAGGCTTGCTGCTAGAGAAGAAACATCACCTAGAATAGATCTTACATGTAGCTGCTACAGTACATGCTACTTTCTTACTTGCATTCAACTTATCAGAGTCCCTTTATGCCGAGGAAAAGACTGTATCTGCTTATTGAACCTTTATTCTTGCTAGAGAAGTTTTTAAAAAGCAGTTTAGTCTTGTCTTGCTGACCGTTTGCTGCAAATAAGCTCAGAGTCGCTGCTAGCTGCCATTTATTCATTGTGACCACACCTGCTTTCAATGAAAATCAGGCTATTTAACTTCAATAATAATTAGATGGTCCTATGCCATACATACGAACAAACACTTTCTCGCCTTAGTGGGGTGAGCTAAGGCTCGCCCCAATTAATTCTATATGCCAATAAGACTAAGCTTTATTGTACATGGACATGTAATGCATTATATACCAACACTGCATGACTTTACTACATTTAACATTGATACAGTGTTCATACATGTATGTACATGTATATATGTATGAACACTGTATTGTGTACATGTACATATAGATCCAATAATTTTTGGATGCACTCTATCTCTCCCCCTCTCTCATTTTAATACGTTCTTGCAAGAAAGCGCTGTGACTCTCTTTCATATTGTAATTTATAAACTAATGTACTACCAATGGTTTTATAGAGAGAGAGGGAGAAAGAGATACCGTAAACCCTCAAATAAAAGCCCAGACGTCTATTTCTTAAAATGACATTTGGACCTCAAAAAAGTGACAAAAGAAAATAAAACTCAAGGCACCAGCGGGATTCGAACTCAGGACTTTGTTCAAGTAATTTCTGGATGCTTAACCAAGTGTCTACAAGGCATTACTGAATTATTTATGTATTGACATGTACATGTATAACATGCTCAGAGAGAGAGAGAGATTCAATGTCGTGGGGTCGAGACCTCTCACTGATTGAGGAAGGGCT